CGCCACCCCCACCCTCGGTGTTAGCCGAAGGGCGCGCCCCCCACCGCAGCACCAGCCCCCCACCCCCACCCCGCCCCCGGGCTCTGGGACCTGCTCGCTCGCTCGCGCCCTCTAGGGCCGGGAAGAGATCCAGTCCTGCCTGTGCTCGACAATCCTATCGATCCCCGGCGGGAGCCCATACCCAGGCTGGCTCCTGGGGGTGACGCCACGCCACGCCACACAGAGGGTTAGTAGGTGGGAGAGCGAGCCCTGGGACTCGGGGCCAATATGGGGACCCCCCCACCCCGGCTTTCCACGCTGATCTCACTGCCAAGTGAAAGGGGAAGGGCAGAGAGGGGCAGGACCCCTGCTGCCCATGGGGGTGGGGAGTCCCCAACCCTTTCCGTGAAAGGGACCATGAGGAGTGGAAATCCAGACGTCGCCCACACCCACCCATGGATGGAAGCTAAAGGGCTGGGGGAGCCAAGCGCCTGGCTTCTCCTAGAGATCCTCTCGGGAGGGAGAAGGATGGAGCGGGAGAAGGCCGAGAGGGCTGGGGAGGGGCCTTGTAATTTATTGCTTTGTTCCCCAACAAGGGGGTGGGGCGGGCAGGGGCGTGGGGAGGGCGTTTTGGGATAGGGGAAGCCAAGGGTGGGCAGGGGGTGGGATGGGGTGGGGTTGCTCTCGGGTTGTGTCTGTGACCGTGACTGCGTACCTGTGACTGTGCAGCGCCCGTGGTGATTTGGGGTAGGGGGCACCCCGACAGTGGGACCCCCTCCCCCACTATTCTCCCTGTCCAGCCCCTCTGTCCCCCTGGAGCAACTCCAGAGTCATCCCTCACCCCCAGATCCTTCCCCCCACTCCCAGCCAGAGCTAAGGGGATTCCAAGCAGTGGCTGGGTGGGTTTTCAGGCCCCTACACCATCCCCAGAAAGGGGTGGGGGGAGGGTGCAATTACCTGGCCCAGCCCTGCCTCGCTCATCAACCCAGCCTCTGGGCTGTCTGTGTCAGTGGTTTCCGGTCTTCCCCCCCCCCCATCTCCTGGTAAAATATTTTGCAAAGGACCAGGTAATGCATTTGGGGAGGGATGTAGATGGGGCAGGGGGAATGCCCCTTCTTCTCCGTGGAGCCAGATGGTGTGAATCTTCAACAGCAATTAAAAAGGAAGTGATTTTGTCTAGTGGGTGAGTTGCCAGTCTGTTTTTTGAAGCGCTGTTAGGGACTAGTGGTCAAGGTGCGCAGCAGGTGGGGGCAGAGGGTGCCTCCTGGCTGTGGCTGATGGCAGGGTGGTGGGCCTGCAGGTCAGACACTGCATCTCTCTCAGGTGTGTCAGTGCCTGGTGGTGGGAGGGGATGGGCAGGTGGGAACAGGGAAGTCACTGATTCCAGAGATGGCAGCATTCTGGGAAGAGTCGGGCATGGTGCTTAGATGAAGGGGTGTGTGTGTTGATGTGGGGGTCTGGGGAAGGAGCCCAGAGAGGTGAGAAGATGGGTAGTTTTGGTGAAGAGCTACAACTTTGGATTCAGAGTTCAAAACCAGATCTTTCACTTCACAGGTAGGTGAGCTGTTGGGGAGTATCCCTGACTCCTTGGAGGGCACCCAGTAAGTGCTCTCACCCCAGGGATGACTGCCCAGGGCCAGCCTGCTCACCTGAGTACTGGGTATCAGAAGTGGAGCTTAGAGTAAGGATGCTTTTCTTGGCCATGTCAAGTGGTGCATGGGAGAGAAGGGATGGAAGAGGTCTCTGGTTCCCCTGAACTCCATTCCCAGTTGACAGAGGCCTGTATCCACCTCCGTGTCATCTAGGAGAACTGAGTGACATGGTCACAAGCTGTAGCACTGCAAGCCTCAGCACCTAGCTGGCCCATTCCTGTAGTGTTGTAGTGCTTCAGAAGTCAGTCTCGGCTGGGCACAGCCATGATGTGCCATCATCCATCTTGAGAACCAGTGAACTCATGGAAGCTTCTGGTACAGATGGTTGGAACCAACCCTCGGAACCAACCCAAGCCCACGGTGCTCAGCTGCCTGTATGCCACCAAGCTAACACACAGGTGTGGTCACAGCCTTGGACCCAGACCCGATTCACATGGAGGGCTATCTCTGTGCAGTCCTAGCCTGGGTGAATGCCCAGCCCAGCAGCCTGACCCAAGAAGAATCCAAGAGCTCAGGAAAGGCAGACTGGGGGTACAGGTGTAGCAACAGGTGCACCCGTAGGTGTGTAGTCTGGAAACGTAAGCAAGCGGTAAAGGGAGAGATAGTAAAGACAAAGGGCCTGACCATTCCACCTTCAACCCGTGGACTCCTTCACCTCATCTCCACTTTCCTTCCTGGTGGTGAAAGTTCACCTGGTAGGAAAATTAAATGGCCTGCCATGGTAGCCACAGGTGGGAAGTTGCCTTAGGTTTCAGCCAGATGGTCAAGGTGTCAGCAAATTCCAGACGCCAATCAATCCTTTGATTGGCTTGTGAAGTTTTTATTTTGTCATAAAAGATGGACTGCACCTTGGCTTTGTTATAATGATATAGAGCAGGTGTCCTCAAACTACGGCCCGCGGGCCACATGCAGCCTGCCGAGGACACTTATCCGGCCCGCCGGGTGTTTTTGCCGTTTGTTTTTTAACTTCAAAAATAAGATATGTGCAGTGTGCATAGGAATTTGTTCATAGTTTTTTTTTAAACTATTGTCCAGGCCTCCAACGGGTCTGAGGGATGTGAACTGGCCCCGTTTACAAAGTTTGAGAATCCCTAATATAGAGGGTAAACAGAGACATGGCACATCCAGTTCACCAGGTTGTGGCAGAGCAGGACTTCAGAAGGGACTCTGGGTGGGTTAGGGTTAGCATCCATACTGACTTCACAGCTCACCTGGGCTTTTCTTATTTGGGGTCCGGTTGCCTACCCGGCCTACCGATGTCTTCTGCCCAGTGTCTTAGCACAAAAGTCCGGGCAGATAGACTTTTCTCGGGAGTTTCACCACAAGGCAGAGTAAGGAATTTAGTATTTAAAGTAGAAACTCATGAAATGGAATGAGGTTTCCAGAACTCCATTTTCTGATCATGTCACGAGACCAACTCCATCCAATCAAAGCTAACTCTCCTCCCCCATTCTGAGGTTCTACTGTAGCTTTGGATCAGCTTTTGGGAGGCCTTCAAAGGCTCTTGCCTCTAAGTACCAGCTAGTCTTTTCGGAGTTCAGGACTTATAGTAAAAGTTTATTGAGCATCTACTGTGCTAAGAGAATGGCATTCTTTGAGTCATTCCATCCTTACAACCACCTGATGAAGTGAGTGTTGGTACTGATCTGTTTACCAAGGAGAAAACAAACCTGTTCCAGGCCCCAGTGTTAGTAAATGGAGGGGGGAAGAGTTGAACCCAGAACTCTGACTACAGCTGCACTGGAGGCAGCTTGTAAGACCTTGCACTGGTAAAGCAACTCTCCCCTTGTGATAGAAATAGATCTGAGGAAGCAGGGTTTTATAAGTCTATTAACACTTTAGAACATGGCTATATAAGCATACACCTACTTCTCACTTGACTATCTTGTCCAACATTCCACATTTACAATGGTAAATAATCTACTTCACACGTTAACAATGTATACCTGGCAGTAACGTGTGCAGCAGTGCAAGGAAAGTAACACTGGCTGTGAAAGTTAAGGTTTTATGTCAAGTTGGCTGGGCCATGATTTTCAGTGGCTTGGCAGTTGGGTAGTGATGAAATTTGACAGGTAATTAGACAGTCATGCAATGGTGTAATCATCCTCCAGTTTTGCATAATGCTGATTTTCGTACAATGACTTGGTCCGAGTTAGTAGTGGGTATTGGCACAATAAGCACCAGTCCACATGCAGGAAGAACAGAAGCAGTCTCAGGCCACTCCCTGCAACAACAATGAGCTCCCTCAGTTTCCCTCTATCTCCTTCTCATGGCTCCCTGGGTGACATAGTTTGTTCTAGGCTACCGAGAAGTTGGTGTGCATCCACCCAGCAGTGCCAAAGTAAGACCTGGCAATCTATTTTCCTAAGATTAGAGCCACTGAAAACCCTATGGAATGACAGGTGGGTGGCTATGAGTTGCATCAACTCAAGGGCAATGGGCTTTGTCTTTTGTCCTCTATTCCTTTCTCACCTTATCAGTCCAGCCTTCAGCAGCAAGGCTGCACAGCTCAGAGCTGGGGCACCAGAGGGAGGCTCTACCATTCTCTGCCTCTAGAGCAACGGTTCTCAACCTGTGGGTCTCAACCCTTTTGGGGGTCGAACGACCCTTTCACAGAGGTCACCTGATTCATAACAGTAGCAAAATTACAGTTAAGAAGTAGGAACGAAAATAATTTTATGGCTGGGGGGTCACCACAACATAAGGAACTGTATTAAAGGGTTGCAGCAAAAGGAAGATTGAGAACCACTGCCACTGCTCTTAGAGCCTCTGCATTTGGATGACCCGGGAGGGAGGGAAGGAAGAGAGCAGCCACACCTGCCCTTGGCAGTGAGGAAGAGATAACCTGATGGGAGCCCTGCCCACAGCACACTAGGAAACTGGCAGCAGCCCTCCCTTGAGATGTGGCCAGAGGAGAAGGTCCTCCTGGGAAATGCTGCAGTGCTACAGCCAAGTGAAGGTAGGGGTGTAGGTGTGTGAGTGCCTTAAGGCCAGGAGGGTGTTCATCAGAAGGGAGAGCCCAGGGTGGTGGTGGTGGCAGGGTAACGGTGGTGTGCATTGGGGTGTGAAGGGTACACAGGGGGGAGGTTAGGAGAAGAACTGGTGTCGAAGAAGGGAAGGAACAGATCTGGGCAGATGAGGACAAGGGCTGATGGTTCTGCAAGGGTTCCAGTCCAGTCCAGGCCAGTCTGCACACTTGGTCCACCTGCCCGGGGCGCTCCGCACTCCTCGGCTCCTGCTGACAGCAGCTTGGAGATATGGGGCAAGGATCTGGATCAGAGAAGGTGCGCTGAAAACACCAGGCTTCAAACTGGAGTGAGCCTTCACCTACTGCCCCTGGCACCCAAGGAAAAGGGATTAAGGAGTTACTGATGGTCCAGTTCTTTATTTAGAAACCTGATTGTTCAAGAATGTGGGGGATATCCTACACCCCCTTTTTCAAAGGGATTGTGTCGGAGGTGGTCGGCAACTTTCCCCCATCTGGTCAATAGAAGGGAAGACTCAACTCCGAAGCACAGGCCGTTGGGGACAATGTGAACAGGAAAAGGGAGGACATTCCAAAGTCATTGAAGAGAAGGGATGAGGGAACCCCAAACTAGGTCTACCACTGTCAGGGGGCGGACTCAGACACACAGCGACCCTGTAGGGCAGAGTAGAACCGCCCCGTGGGGTTCCTGAGGCTGTCCTGTGTACAGGAGCAGACCGCCACACCTTTGTCCTGCAGAGCGACTGACTGGGGTTTGAACTGGGGTAGGGCCAATTCAAGGGTGGGCATTCAGCTCACGGCCCGGCACTATAACCACTGTGCCACCAGGACTCACCAAACGGGGGGGATTTGCCTTCTTAGGCCCTACTCTTCCTGTTACCCCTACCCCACCTGAAGCCTTTTCAGTGTCCTTCGGGAGGGGCAGGAAGGAGAACCAACACGCTAGAGAGGATCCGGGAAGGGCTGAGGAGGAGAGGAAGGTGAGGTGAATCCTGGGAGAATGAAAATCGCAGGCTTGCTGAGGCCTCCAGGGCGGCTCTTAGCAGCAGCAGCAGCACCCAGCCAGCCCACGACACCCCCCACCCCACCCTCAGACCACAGCTCAGCACCACATTGCTGTTTGGCCTGCAGGGGCCCCAGTGGGATGGGGGAGGGGAGCGGGAAGGCAGGAAAGTTCTGGTCCCCTTGGAAGGTCATCTGTGGCAGCGGTCTCAGAAGTCGAACTCATCCAGGTCCCCGGTGCCCTCCCCATCCTGGGAGCCCCACACCCGGCGGTAATTGCTCTCTAGCTCCTTCTGCCGTCTCCGCTCTTTCTGCGCCTCCTCAGCTCCCTGCACCTGGGGGGAAGAGGGTGGTCGGGGTGAGCTGGAGTTGCTGAGGGGACCCCGGAGACACAAGGAGTGCTTTAGGGATGAGTCAGGGGGCAGGGGGAAGGATACTCAGCCACCACAGCAACTGGCCTCCAGGTGCAGTGGCAAAACTGATAACTTATGGGACCGGACCCTGGACACCAGCACATGGCTGCTGGAAGCCCGGGAGGCTGAAGGTCCTGGGCCCAGGGCTCAGAGCCTCTCACCAAGATATTGAAGAAGATCTCTTTGAGGTGTTTTGTGTCCTCGTCGGTCAGCCAGCGAGCATCCTCCTCAGCCCCTTCAGCTCCGGTTCGGACAATTTTGATCTCAATTTTACCTGGGAAGGAGCAGGATGGGCAGGCAGTGAGCGGGGAGCAGGCTGGGCCCTGCAGCATAGGCCCCCATAAGGTGCCCGGCCCCCCAGCCCCTCCTGGTCCAGCTGCAAGCCCTGGTGACAGAAGGCTCAGCTCAGGGTGCAGCCCGCCCTCCAGGGCCCACCTTCGGCTGTGAGTCCCTCCCTCTCCAGCAGGTCTTTCACCAGCCCCTCGATTTGTTTCAGCTGTGGGTTTTCCCGTTTCATCTCCAGGACAGTCAGATCCTGATTGGGGCCTCCGTGACGGAGCTTGGTGACCCGGACCCGGACTCTGTGCTCAGGATCCTCCTCTTAGAGAGGGGGGGGGGGACACACAGGGAGACACAAAGCAGAGCCATGACTCCCGGGGCCATGGGCGGGGCGGCTCTTCTGCCCCAAACACCTCGGGAACCGAGGTGCCAAGCATCCACGCCCCCAGTTCTAGCTTGCAGAGCTCCCTCCACCAGCACCCCTTCTTTTTTCTCTCCCCCTAACTCTGCCCAGCGCCTCCAGGAGGGCAGACCTCAGGCCGCCTGCAGTTTGGTTTGGAGGAGCAAGGCTTGGAGAACTGTTCTATGTTTATAGACATAGTGGGATGCAAGCTTTGAACCTGGGCCTGTTCTGGAACCCTGCAGGGTGACTGGTCCCCTCACACAGGACTCTGGAGCATGGAAGGGGTGAGGAGCTGTGAGAAACGGCCACCTTCAAGCCTGTCCAGGCCAAATGGCTGGCATACAGCTGGGCTGGCCTATTCATGCTCTGGCAGCTGGGGCTTTTCCCCGGACAATGTCCTAATTGTTGATTGGTTGCACCCTTCCCGGATGTGTGGATTCCAGCACATGGGCTCAGAGCCACCCAGTTTGTCTCTACTGCTCGCCCACCCTGTGCCAGGCAAGGTGCTAGGCACGGGAGTCCAGGGGCAAACCGGAAAACTGACAGGCAGACTCTAGATGCTGTTTCCCCAGAGAAGACTAGGAAGCTGCCCCACCGAGGGGCGGTGCCAGTGAGAAGAGGCAACAGGGGGTACAGTGTTC